CGTCTGGTGAGAGTTAGGGGTAGAACTAGGAGTGACTGGCTGGCTAGTTCGCGTTAGAACTATTTGGCCGTCTGGTGAGAGTTAGGGGTATAACTACGAGTGACTGGCTGGCTAGTTCGCGTTAGAACTATTTGGCCGTCTGGTGAGAGTTAGGTGTAGAACTAGGAGTGACTGGCTGGCTAGTTCGGGTTCATGTGAGTTGGGCTTGTGTTTGGTGGGCTGGTGAACTCTGCCTTGAAACTGTGCAACAGGATCTTTAACATCGTCGTCATGGCACCTCCGATTAGTACGGCTGGCTACGTACGGTGCGAAAGAAGTTCAACATACATAGATACGTAGCGAGGCGCTCACTAGGCATGTGACAATTCACCCTCTCAGCGATTCGATGAATTGTCAAAATTCTAGATTGCTATTCGCTTAAAATAAACGGTTACTTTTTGTCTCATTTTACCCTCTCGTTTTGTGCTGCTTCTCACTGTGGCTTTCTTTCCCGTCCATGCCGTTTCGTTTACCCGATTAGTCTAAAATGCAAACTCGTAATTGAATGTAATCCATTCTCACGCGTTTCATTTGTCGCGTGGGACCTGAGCGGAAGAATCCACGAAATGTTTTTGTTCCACCATAGATCGGATGCCCTGTTGCATCCCTCATCTTAACACTTTATATATAAGCTGGGTTCGAGGTGGAAGAAGAGCGCCTTGACAAAAGAATGTGCACATCAAGAGGAATTTAGCATATTCATGGGAAATGCGTAGGAGGTGGGCGGGGGGGTTTCAAAGTCATATTATGACCATGAATTATGCAGGATCAGCAGCACCAAGGGAGGGTGCAGGGAGTAGCATTAACAAAGGGAGGGAATGTTAACAGTATGTAGCTGCAGTTACTAAACAACCACGTAGAAAACTAAAGTATAAACTACATAATAAAAACTAAAGTATAAACTGCATAGCACGAAAGCTTTAAATCGAAATTTATTGTTTTTTTATTAATTTTGGTTTCATTTTTTACCTACGTGACTTCACCGAAAGAACTAAGAGTATACATCCCTACGTCCCCCTACCGATCCATCAAAGGGAGGGGGCAGGGGGTAGCATTAACACAGGGAGGGAATGATAATAGTATGTAGAAGCAATGAAACATGTGAATGGGAGAACGGTGGCAGGAGACCCGCAGCGGAGCAAATAATGCATTCCCTGCGGAGAACACAAGATGCACAATCTTAATTTTGGAGCTTTCGTGACTGCAGGAATTATTCTTTGGTTTTTTCGGTAACTTAGCAATCTTTGAAATACGTAGTCGACCAGGCTGTGCGTTAATTGTGTGTCGTTTTACATAACATTTCGATTCTTTGCTAGGTTATTTAATTTAGTGTGTTCTGTCTCCCTCTAAGCCTGCTTACTTTACTACGCCTCCCTTCGTACTCATTGACATGTAAATTTTTTCTCTAACCCCTCCCTCTCTCTGCCTCCGCCCCCCTCTGTCTATTTAAGGGCTTCCCCACAGAGACGATCACCCCTCTCTGTGCCTGTGTTGCTCTCTCTCTGTGTATCTTGGTGATATCTGTCTGCTTATATGTCTGTCTATAGTTTTCTGGTTAGATTCTATGTCGCTATTTCATTATACCTGATGATGATTGCTTGTGTTGCAATCGAAACGTCGTATGCTATTATTTAATTTAATTTATTATTTTATCTTTATACGTGACTTCACCTAAAAAACCAAAGAACAAGATACACAGTCAATGCCAGTGAGTGGACTACGAGATGATGAATCCCTGCAGTCACGAAAGCTTTAAATCGAAATAAAATAGTTGTATTATAATAGTAAAATAATGTTATTACGTGTTTTATAATAAAATAATTGTCTTACGTAAAATGTTTATTATTTCCCTTCTACGTGACTTTACCGATGGAATCAACAATACAGGAGTTTGATTTTCTTGGTTCTTTCGGTAAAGTCGCGTAGAACAAATGTGACCTAAGGTCTACACTCATTTACCAGCTTCACATTCCCTATTGCCGTACAGATACTGGAGGAAGGGCCTTTGCTATTGATGCCCCCAGGGTCTGGAATGCTGTTGCCAATAAATTGAAACTTGAGTCACTACCTATGAGATCTTCACTCAAAACTGCTCTAGAGGAGTTGTTACACCCCTAGCTGCCAGCGCGATTCAGTGGCAGTGGCGGCTCCTGCAAAATCTCTCAGGGGGGGCAAATGTCTGGATGATTGATAAGGATAAGGTCCACCCATGCAATGGATAAATTAACAGCTTAAGCATGTAAAGGCAACTTCACTTGTTTATTATTAATGAAAAATAAAGTGACTCTTACAATACATCTTGTTTGTTTCTATACTCACTATTATTACAATCCACTCAGTTTATTTTATTAAAGATTCCACTAGGTGGCGACAAATAATATTGTTGGATGAAACGTGCTTACGTATGATGACGTAAGCACGTTAGGGCGAGCCCTCCCGGAAGCCGTAGAGAATGCATTGCAGCGCCCGCCGTTCGAAAAAAAACATCTTTGAATGTAAGTCTATGGGAACACTCGGGGCGATTCTCAGCCAGAGTGAAATCGCCCAAAAAGAGGCGGTACTCCACAGAACGTAGCATGACGCTGATTGGACTATATCCAGAGGCTGCAGTGACGGCTCGCGTGACTCTGTGGTTGAATGACATTGGTGGTGCGTCGCCCAATCGCCCTAATGAAGAAACCGCCCCTGGCTGGGACCGACTGCAAGATAAGCCACACTGCGTGGGTGGAAAGAGATCCGAGGAGTGCACAAGGACATTGGTTGGGGTCTTTAGCAAGAGGTTGGGGAGGGGCTAAGATGGAAAGACTGCAACCCTGGAAGGTACAGCTATGCGGTCACTGGTGTGTTAAACAAAATAAGCTTGTTTCTTATAAGTAGGGCGGTATTCAAAAATATTGACGGGTTTTGTTAACGGAGTACCGCCGGAGTTGTGTGTTATAATCAAAACAATGTCACTTGTTTATCCGGTAAAGCCTCAACGGGTCTCAGTACCACTTTTTCAGAAAGGGTCCTGGCCAATTCATTTTACGAAGAAGGGGGGGGGGGCGGTTGGGCTTCCGTGTTGGAAGGAAACTGGAGTGCCCAGAGGAAACCCATCAAAGATGTTCACGAACACCTCGTCCTGCTGCGGAGGGAGCTGGTAGGAACGTTGGGTTGCTCGGTCAGTTGACCCTGGCCATTGACCCCACCCACTCACTCACCCCACCCACTCACCCACCCACTCACTCACTCACCTCACCCACCCACTCACTCACCCCACCCACTCACTCACCCCACCCATTCACCCACTCACTCACCCACCCACTCACTCACTCACCCCACCCACTCACCCACTCACCCACCCACCCACTAACCCCACCCACTCACTCCCTCACTCACCCACCCACTCACTCACTCAACCCACTCACCCACCCACTCACCCATTCACTCACCCACCCACTCACCCACCCACTCACTCACTCACCCACCCACCCACCCACTCACCCACTCACCCGACCCACTCACTCACCCACCCACTCACTCACCCCACCCACTCACCCACCCACTCACTCACCCACCCACTCACTCACCCCACCCACTCACCCACTCACTCACCCACTCATTCACTCACTCACCCACTCGCCCATCCACTCACCCACTCACTCACCCATCCACTCACCCACCCACTCACTCACCCACCCACTCACCCACTCACTCACTCACTCACCCACCCACTCACTCACCCCACCCACTCACCCACCCACTCACTCACCCACCCACTCACTCACCCCACCCACCCACCCACTCACCCACCCACTCACTCACCCACTCACTCACCCACTCACCCAATCACCCATCCACTCACCCACTCACCCACCCACTCACTCACCCCACCCACTCACCCACCCACTCACTCACCGCACCCACTCACTCACCCACCCACTCACTCACCCCACCCACTCACTCACCCCACCCACTCACCCACTCACTCACCCACTCATTCACTCACTCACCCACTCGCCCATCCACTCACCCACTCACTCACCCATCCACTCACCCACTCACTCACTCACCCACCCACTCACCCACTCACTCACTCACTCACCCACCCACTCACTCACCCACCACCCACTCACCCACCCACTCACTCACCCACCCACTCACTCACCCCACCCACCCACCCACTCACCCACCCACTCACTCACCCACTCACTCACCCACTCACCAAATCACCCATCCACTCACCCACTCACCCACCCACTCACTCACCCCACCCACTCACCCACCCACTCACTCACCGCACCCACTCACTCACCCACCCACTCACTCACCCCACCCACTCACCCACCCACTCACTCACCCACTCACCCACCCACCCACTTCACCCACTCACCCACCCACCCACTCACCCACCCACTCCCCCACTCACTCACTCACCCACCCACCCACTCACCCACCCACTCACTCACCCACCCACTCACCCACCCACCCACTCACTCACTCTCCCTCCCACCCACTCACCCACCCACTCACTCACCCACCCACTCACCCACCCACTCACTCACTCACCCCACCCACTCACCCACTCACCAAATCACCCATCCACTCACCCACTCACCCACCCACTCACTCACCCCACCCACTCACCCACCCACCCACTCACCCACCCACTCACTCACTCACCCCACCCACTCACCCACCCACCCACTCACCCACCCACTCACTCACCCCACCCACCCACCACTCACTCACCCACTCACTCACTCACCCACCCACCCACCCACTCACTCACTCGCCCACCCACCCACCCACTTACTCGCTCGCCCACCCACTCACCCATCCACTCACTCACCCAACCACCCACTCACTCACCCACACACCCACCCACTCACTCACCCACCCATCCACCCCACCCACTCACCCACCCACTCGCCCACACCCATCCATGACGTCATGCCCCCCCCCCTCACGTCCCCCGCGTCCCCAGAGTTGCCGGGCAACATCCTCCACTCGGTGAGTCGAGCGGCGTTTTAGTGTTATTCCTCGCTGACTAACAACAACAAGAACGAGAATAAACTCGCAGCATGTGCTCTAAGTAATACTCGACCCCCCAAGGCTCTCCGTGATAATACAACGTCAGTGATTGAGTTCTAAATGCGCGAAGTCTGCCGAGTGGTGCAGCGTAGCCCCATTCGCTAGGCCGCACTCAAGCGCCTCGAATTGTTGATTTTAATTCGAGTTTAATTTTTATTGCTTTAAGCTATAACTTGAATGTATCGCTTTTCAAATGTCGCGTTGGAATAGTTCGTTTATTGTGAGCTTACATTACGTTCTCGTCGATAATTGAATGCAACTTTTTTATATTTCAACGAATAAAAACGCGGCCCGGTTTTTGCTCGTAAGCCTCGGTCTCGCCTGAATCTTGGCCGCAAATCGGGGCACGCGGCCCCGCATGGGAGAGCTCCGTGTAGACGCGTACTTTTATTATTTATATAACCAAGGCCACGTAAAAATTAACACCGTTTAACAATCGCATTCGTTTACAAGTACAGTTCTTTTCTACAAGTTGAATTACGTGTTAATAAATGACCACTCACTCACTCACTCACCCACTCACTCAACCACTCATCCACTTACTCACCCACTCACCCATCCACTCATTCACCCACTCATCCACTTACTCACCCACTCGCCCATCCACTCACCCATCCACTCACCCACTCACTCATCCACCCACTCACCCACTCACTCACCCACTCACTCACCCACCCACTCACTCACCCACTCACTCACCCACTTACCCACCCACTTACCCACTCACCCACCCACTCACTCACCCACTCACTCACCCACCTACCTACTCACTCACCCACTCACCCACCCACTCACTCACCCACTCACTCACCCACTCACCCACCCATCCACCTACCCACTCACCCACTCACCCACCCACCTACTCACTCACCCACCCACCCACTCACTCACTCACCCACCCATCCACTCACCCACTCACTCACTCACTCACCCACCTACTCACTCACCTACCCACCCACCTACTCACTCACCTACCCACCCACCTACTCACTCACCCACTCACCCACCCACCCACTCACCCACCCACCCACCTACTCACTCACCCACTCACTCACCCACCTACTCAGTCACCCCACCCACTCACCCCACCCATTCACTCAACCCACCCACCTACTCACTCACCCACTCACTCACCCACCCACTCACTCACCCACTCACTCACCCACCCACCTACTCACCCACTCACCCACTCACCCACCCACTCACCCCACCCACCCACTCACCCACTCACTCACCCACTCACCCACCCACCTACTCACCCACTCACCCACCCACTCACCCCACCCACTCACCCACTCACTCACCCCCTCACTCACCCACTCACCCACTCACCTACTCACTCACCCACTCACCCACCCACCCACCCACTCACCCACTCACCCACCCACCCACCTACTCACTCACCCACTCACTCACCCACCTACTCAGTCACCCCACCCACTCACCCCACCCATTCACTCAACCCACCCACCTACTCACTCACCCACTCACCCACCCACTCACTCACCCACTCACTCACCCACCCACCTACTCACCCACTCACCCACTCACCCACCCACTCACCCCACCCACCCACTCACCCACTCACCCACTCACTCACCCACTCACCCACCCACCCACTCACCCACTCACTCACCCACTCACCCACCCACCCACCTACTCACTCACCCACTCACTCACCCACCTACTCAGTCACCCCCACCCACTCACCCCACCCATTCACTCAACCCACCCACCTACTCACTCACCCACTCACTCACCCACCCACTCACTCACCCACTCACTCACCCACCCACCTACTCACCCACTCACCCACTCACCCACCCACTCACCCCACACACTCACCCACTCACCCACTCACTCACCCACTCACCCACTCACCCCACCCACTCACCCACTCACTCACCCACTCACTCACCCACTCACCCACCCACCTACTCACTCACCCACTCACCCACCCACCTACTCACTCACCCACTCACACACCCACCCACTGCTATAAATTTACACGAAATGAATCGCTTCGTTAGGCTACCATCTGTGGCCAGGTCGCTTCTGAAAAAGAGCCGGGTAGCTCAGCGGCCCTTTCCTGGTGAGAAAAGAGTTGAGTGTTTATGGCCTCAGAGCAGCGCTAGAAAATGGACAATTTGTAATGCGTGTAGTTTAATCGATCAGAATAGCTGGAACAATCCCCAATCCAAAATGCTTTCATAGATCCTAGACAACATACGTACATCTATCATCTCCCGCCGTAATGATCGTGTCTCCTCGATGTGTGCGACGTTGCTACTTTAGCGAATCGGCGGCGTTGCGGTGGTGATAACAAAGGCTCAGCCTCTTAAGCCTCACCTTACCATATTAATAAAAAGTGTGCCGTACTTGGCCCTTCCCCCCTCTCCAACCATTATATATACGGAGTGGTAGCTCTTGCAATCTCTCATTTACTTGATACAGCTGTCGTGGCTGTGACGGTTCCACCTGAAGACGGAGGCTTGTGTTGCCTCCGAAACGTCGTGAATTTTTTCATTTGTTTTATTTTACTTTTATTCATTTAAATGTTTTACCTACATGGTGACTTTACCGGAAAAAAAAACCTAAGAGGTGATTACACCGTGCTGCAGTCTCTAAAAGCCGAGTTCAGTTGTGGACCTTGATGCCAACCAACAGCAGCACCCCCCTTGATTGGTGGTCATTATCAGGCAGGATCCTCACTGCGCTTCAGGCTAACCGACACGTCCCTGTGTGTCTCTGCAGTTGTCATCATCGTCGTCGTCGTCGTCATCATGAGTGGCAGCCCCTCCACCTCCATCTCTTCAGCTTCGGGAGTTTGCGAGGAAGCTTTGGTCAGTGTTTGCGATTGCGTTCATGTCGCCGTGTGCTTACAATGCGTTTGAGACAATCGCTTTAGGCCGAGTGTTGTTTCGTGTTTGAGTGGGTTGTTGGGTGAACACAGCCTGGTGGTGTAAGTTATGGAATCTACATCATGATACCTCCTTTGCCAGTAACAAGATATAGTAATAGGGGTTTACCCTTTTTTTCTGGCAACACAACCGACACCTTTATACAAGGGATCGTGTTTGCAATGACCACAACACTTGCAGTCAAAATGCAAACGAAATAGAGACGACCCTGATAATGATATGCACTGTCCTTGAAATTGATTGGTCCACACCCGAGACGGCTTTCATTTTTATCACATTGGTATTTTAAATTAAATATGAAATTTTTTTTTTCCTAAAAAGTGGAAAATTTTGGGAAAAAAATTTTCCACGAAAATTAATTGTCACGCACAACGAGTCTGTGTGCAAAATGTCAGCTCGATTGGATCACGGGAAGTGGGTTAAAAAACGACCGAAATATTTGCACGGTCGTAAGCGCGCAAGCAAGCAAGCGAGTGAACTTAATATAAAGGATTTTAAAAAATGTAACTACGTGACGTTACCGAAAAATCCAAAGAGTATGAATCTTTGCACAGCAACGCGCGCATTGAGGGGTGTTGCTCACTCCTAGTGGCTTGTGTGTGTGCGCGTTTGCTTTGCGTGTCTGCGCACGTGTGTGTGTGTGTGTGCGTGTGCATTGAATTTCTTCTGCACCATACTTAGCCGACTGTGCGCTCACCGGAGATGCGCGTGTTCTTGGTGTCGGCGTGTCTCTTTTGTAACAAGCCGGCGAGCAGATAAAGTGTTGCGTGATTACGATTTGCGCAACGATTGCTTCGAGGGCGATTTCAATGCGAGGGTGACGTGTGACGACCACCTCTCTCTCCGTCTGTCCCGCAGGCGGTGAGGCCTGTGCCTCTGCTGCTGCGTCTCTTGCGCTCTGTCGGTGCGACAGGCGACACGTTCACGCTGCCGCAGGTGAGATGCGGACGCTCGCTCGCGACGCCTGTGCCGAGGCGTGGGCGGTTTGCCCGCCGCTTTGCCTGGCATTGCCGCAAAATGATAATTGTGTTTTTTTATCCTTCTATCTGGCAACAAAACTGACACTTTTTTTTTGCATAGACCACAATACCTGCAGTCGTAATGCAAACAAAAAACACATAACTCTGATAATGTATGCACTGTCCTTGAAATTGATTGGTCCACACCCGAGACAGCTTTCCTGAGAGCCTAGTCTCACGTGGTGTTGGACCAGATGACGCCAAAAGGCGCACAACTCACTCAAAAACAGCGCACTGTCAGAGTATTGAGAGCTTGGAGGAGGCTTCTCAGTTGACGGAGGCATCCTCCCGCGCAGGTCTTCCATCACCTGGGCGGCTACATCAAGACGAAGCAACTCTACGACAAGCGGAGGCTACACATGGTGCACTGCAAGGGCGACCCTCTGGGGGAGCTGTTCGGCGTGGAGAGCTTTTCCCTCAAAGAGCCGAGGTGAGGAAGACCGGTGGCGTGTCGAGGAGTTTGCCAACCGAGGGTTGCGACGGTATGTGCCACGGGTGAACTGTGCGCTGTTGTGACCACTGGATCATCGGTCCTGTGGCGTGATGGGAGAGCTCATCTGATGGGCACAACTTTTCCAATTTGCCGTGTAAAATCTACCTTTGCGTTGTTGATATTGTTTGTGCGACAGCTTGTGCTTTACCCCGAGCTCTCGTACTCTGTTGGTGCGTTGTCTTTGAGTTGTGCGCCTATTGGCGTCATCTGGTCCAACCCATGTGAGACTAGGCTCTAAGGAAAGCTGTCTCGGCTGTGGACCAATCAACTTCAAGGACAGTGCACACATTATCAGAGTTGTGTTTTTTGTTTGCTTTATGACTGCAGGTATTGTGGTCTATGCAAACATGACTCCTTGTAAAAAAGGTGTCAGTTTTGTTGCCAGATAGAATGGTATAAAAACAATTATCAGCTTGTGCTAATTTAGAATGTTCATTTCACACACATCCTGTAAAACAATTACGTAACTTAATTGTAATTGTACTATGATCAGTTTGAAAATGTGGCTGAGCCAACACAAAGAGTGTGTATTATTGAACATTGATTTATATCTGCCATATGTTTTTCCATTTCTCATATGACACCGTTTTTTCTCAGATGTTTCTATTTGATTGCTGTATTTCACGTGATTTGATTTGGTTTTGTCAGCTTGGTTACCCAGGTGTCACCACCCTTGCGTATGAAACTAATCCCCGGACTATTGAGTTCTCACCTGGTGAAACAAATAAACTCTCGTTGTTTACAGGAAGTGTTATACTCGGTTTAATAGGTAAACCGGCATGTGCGTGAAATGGTTGTTCGGTAGCTTGCGTTCAATGATTGACTATCAGACGAACATGCGCACTTTAACCCTCGGTTGGAGTTGCAAACGGTGAATAAAATCGAATGTAACACGATGAATTATCAAACATTGGTTCTGTCAGTAAAGTCACGTAGAAGGGAAATAATAAAATAAAATAAAAAATAGAAATAACTAAATTAAATCACGACGCTTCACGACGTTTTTTAATATTTTATTTCTTCAAAGAAGCAAAGAGTATGGATTCTTGCAGTCACGCAAACTTCCACCCCACAAACATCTCTCCTCTGTCTGCAGCTCGTCGCCCAGGTCGCTGGGCGCTCTCCTGGCCAAGGCGCTCGGCAGAGCCGCCACCGACAGACGCAAAGGTGGAGCCAGGCCTCGGCAAGGTAACGTAAAAGTTTAAAGGTAAAAACAACGAGCCTACCTTTACCCTACCATTTACCTTAACATAATATAATCACTCTACCCTTACCTTAGACCCTTTAGCAGGTAAGGTACAAGTTAAAATGTAATAGTAGTATCATCAGCAGTAGTAGTATCAGCAGTAGTAGTATCATCATCGGTAGTATCAGCAGTACTAATATCATCACCGGTAGTATCAGCAGTAGTAGTATCATCATCGGTAATATTAGTAATAGTATCATCAGCAGTAGTAGTAGTATCATCACCGGTAATATCAGCAGTAGTAGTATCATCATCGGTAATATTAGTAATAGTATCATCAGCAGTAGTAGTAGTATCATCACCGGTAGTATCATCAGTAGTAGTATCATCATCGGTAATATTAGTAGTAGTATCATCACCGGTAAAAAGCAACGAGCCTACCTTTACCCTACCTTTTACCCTTACCCCATACGAATTACCCGATTACAGGGTAATTACTGGGGAACTACTACACATGAACAAGGTTTATAACGGTAAATGCTATAGGTAGAGCGCTTTGTTCATGTAGAATACTCTCCATGATTCCAATTTTACACGCTTGTCGTTGTTGTCGTATCAAATCTTGTAACTCAATTTTAACCCACTTCCCAATGTGGTATCGACTGCAAACTTGGTATACTTATGTCATACTGATGACAAAAATATATAATGTTTTAAACATTATTTTTTATATGTTAAGTTTCGGTTTGGGTCTAATTGTCCACAATCAACTGGCGTTGGCTGCAATCGGCCACGCCCCCTTACGTTGTGGCTACTTCCTGGAGTCGTGGAGTTTTTTAAAATATTACTTATTGAATAGAGGCCACAGACTGCTCCACGGAGCTTCTAGCGATAAACAAGGCACCGTATTTACCGGGTAATACTTCGCGCTACCTTTACCCTACCGGGTAATTCTTCCGAACTACCTTTACCCTTTAACCCTTTACCTTACCCCTTGGCATGTCGACACCTTTACCCTTTTACCCGTACCCAGCCGGGTACGGGTAGCCGGGTACCCGTTTGCGACCCTGGTGCGGCCGGGTACGGGTAGGCCGTGAGTCACTGGTGAGTAACCGTTTGTCACTCATTTCCCAACGTCTTGTCTCTTCTCACAATTCAAGTTCCTAGAATCAACCCACCCGCGCCTGCAACATGGCTCTATCCCAGAGGTCGCAATCGGGTACCCGATACCCGTACCCTACCCGTACCCGGCCGGGTACGGGTAGGGTACGGGTACGGCCGGGTACGGGTACGTGAAAGGAATCAAAACCCGTTTGCGACCTCTGCTGTCGCGGTGCTCACGTATCGGTGCGCGTGTCGTTCTGCGGCATGCAGATCACGCGGCGGGAGCCGTGAAGGGAAGCTCATTGGCGACGGCCGACGGAGACAAGCGGCAGGTGAGTTTGGCGGTGGCGTTACGAGCACATCGGAGCGCGCGTGCGCTCGCGCGTGCGGCCGGTGCGAGCGTGGGGATCGGTGGCCCACACACGCTTTGATTGACTTTTCCGTGTTTTTCATAAAAGTAAGTCTCTCACAGCAGCGTAGCTACGCACAGCCTCCTCACCCAGCCCCTCCCCATCCTCCCACCCAGCCCCACCCTCCCCTCTCCACCCAGCCCCACCCCTCTCCCACCCCCCACCCAGCCCCACCCTCCCCACCCCACCCAGCACCTCCCCATCCTCCCCACCCCACCCGGCCCCACCCCTCCCATTCTTGCATGCACGACTGACGGACGGACACAATAATCCCCTGTGGGCTGGGTGGAACCAGGTGGTTCCTACCAGTGTAACCGTCGACTCTGCTCATCGTGTCCGTAGCCCAGAGCCAGTTGTGGTCAGTCCCAACAGGAACCGCAGCGACGAGGAGGAGACGGACACGAGGAGGAGGAGGAGGGCGTTGACGACGATGTCAAAACGAAGACGTCGTCGGACGCCGTCTCCGCCGCTCCCTCGGCTCCCGCGAGCTCCGACCGCGACGTCAGCAGCAGCGGCAGCAGCAGCAGCAGCAGCAGCAGTGACAGCAGCAGCGGCAGCAGCAGCGACAGCAGCAGCGACAGCAGCAGCGGCAGCAGCAGCAGCGGCAGCAGCAGCAGCAGCAGCGACGCCAACGCCGCGTGCCTCGCGTGCCTCGTGTGCCTCGTGTGCCAGCACCGGCCCAGGAGCTGCACGCTCGTGCATGGAGAGACGGGCCACCTGGTCACGTGCTGCGCGTGCGCCAAGAAGCTAAAGCGCCGCAACGAGCCTTGCCCCGCGTGCGGCAGGCCCGTCCACGCCGTCGTCAGGACGTACCTGCGGTGAGAGAGACGCCAGCTGACGTCACCGTCCACGCCGTCGTCAGGACGTACCTGCTGTGAGAGAGACGCCAGCCGGTAGCGGCGGCGTCTACGCCGCGGGCTGCGAAGCGGTGCCCTGGCTGAGCTCCGCTTGCCCAGACGGCATTTGGCATCCGCTGGGAATCGCGTCGCGATGGCCGACGGATTGTTTGTCCATCTGCTTCGTTTCAAAAGACCCCCACCACCACCATCACCACCACCATCACCACCACCATCACCACCATCATCACCACCATCACCACCATCACCATCATCACCATCACCACCACCATCACCACCACCACCATCATCATCACCATCATCACCACCACCACCATCACCACCACCATCACCACCATCACCACCACCACCCACCACCATCACCACCACCATCACCACCACCCACCACCATCACCACACCACCACCATCACCACCATCAACACCCACACCACCATCACCACCATCACCACCCACCACCATCACCACCCACCACCATCACCATCATCACCACCACCATCACCACCACCACCATCACCCACTACCACCATCACCACCATCACCACCACCATCACCACCACCATCACCACCCACCACCATCACCACCCACCACCATCACCATCATCACCACCACCATCACCACCACCTTCACCACCACCATCACCATCATCACCACCACCATCACCACCACCACCACCATCACCACCACCATCACCCACCACCACCACCATCACCACCATCACCGCCATCACCACCACCACCCACCACCATCACCCACCACCATCACCACCACCACCACCACACCGCCTGTTGAGTTTTTCTATCTGGAAGTTGATACTGAAAATGTTATCGACTATGAGACATCTCCTTTACCAGTGGCAAAAGGTAGTGGTAGGTTTTTACCCTTTCAACTGGTACTACAACTGACACCTTTATACAAGGCATCATGTTTGCAATAACCACGACACAAGCAGTTGTTTCTTTTTGTTTGCATTTTGACTGCTTGTGTTGTGGTTATTGCAAACATGATGCCTTGTATAAAGGTGTTAGTTGTTGTACCAGTTCAAAGGGTAAAAACCCATCACTATGTTATCAACTATGTAAAAGGTGGCAGATTTTTGTTGTGTACAGGATTGGATGTCAGAATAGCCTCGGTCAAATATGATCGAACCGGGTCGGCGGGTTCATAGCGCAGCGTAGCGCTAACCGCTACACCACCGCTCCCCACCCACACACAAAGATAAAGATCCCCGTGTTAGCCTTAACAGACTGTAGAGGCAAGTGCTGTCAGCGAGCACCTATGAAGGCCGGAACGGCACACGAGGGGGTGGGTGGCCAGCACCACGCCCGACCGCCTTTGTCTCCCGGTGGTGATGTTTACTACACACCGCACCAGGTTCTCATTTGAGGCTGAGTCGACCTAGGGGAGGCCCTGGACCGGTTCAGATAATCGTCACCGGTGTTGGCCGTGAGCGGGGATCGAACCCGGGGTCGCCGGGTTCATAGTGCAGCGTAGCGCTAACCGCTACACCACCGCTCCCCACACACACGTACACACATGTGT